TGATTTGATTGACCTGCATATTGATAGCATCGCCGTATTTTGATTTCAGTTGTAGGCTTTGGTGACCTGCTGGGCTTTGTAAGCTCATTATATGTGGTTAAAATTTTCAGGTCCGATTAAGGCAACTGGAATGGAGATTGTTCAGAATGTCAGATGAATCCTTTCACTATTGATATCTGGGGCATCACAGGAGCTTAGAGAATGTGTATAAATTATACATATCTCAACAAATTTTGCCTGAAAGATAGCTTTCCGATTCCTCGTATTGACTCAATTAGTCGATGTCACCTATGGACATCAGATGTTGAGCTTTATGAATGCCTACTCTAACTATAATCAAATAAAGATGAATCCTGCTGATGAAGAAGCGACAGCTTTTCAAATAGCAAAGGGTAATACTACTATCGGGTGATGCCCTTCAGGCTCAAAAATGCTGGAGCAACTTATCAGCGTATTATGAATAAGATTTTCAAAAACCTTATTTGGCGTACTATGGATGTGTACGTGGATGATATGTGTGTGAAAAGTCTTGAAAAATCTCAACATATCTCTGACTTGGAATAATGCTTCCACTTATTGAGACATTATGATATGCGACTCAACTCTGCTAAATGCACTTTTGGAGTCGCTTCTGGAAAGTTTTTAGGGTTTGTAATAACCTATAGAGGAATTGAAGCTAATCCTGAGAAGGTCAATGCTCTAAGGGATATGGTGCCACCGAAGAATATCAAGGAGGTCCAAAAGATAAATGGGAGAATTGCAGCACTATCTCGTTTTTTAGCACATTCAGGAGACAAATATATGCTCTTCTTCATGGTACTTAAAGGTGCTCGTAACTCTGGATTCCAATGGACCGATAAATGCCAAGAAGCCATTGAACAATTATGAAAGTATTTGGCATCCCCGCCACTACTTTCTAAACCAACACCGGGAGAGAAATTGTATTTATATATGGTTGTTTTTGTCCAAACCATTAGTTCGGTCTTGGTTAAAAAAATGCTGTACAACGTCCTATATACTATGTTAGCAAAATTTTATCTGAAACAGAAAGACGTTATCCTCGAGTAGATAAGACTGCAATGACGTTAGTTTACTCTGCCAGAAAACTATGCCCTTATTTTCAAGCCTATACAATTGAGGTTCACATAAATCTACCGCTGAAAAATATACTGCAAAAGCCAGAAGCATCAGGTAGGCTTGTTAAGTGGTCTATAGAGCTGGGAGAGTTCGATATCCACTACTTGCCTAGGCCCGATATTAAATCTCAAACACTTACAGATTTCATAGTTGAATGCACCGTCCTAGTATCTGATGTTCAACCAAGTGCTTTGCCTTCTCCTCCATGCTGGACGTTGTATGTCGATGGAGTTTTTGGAAGTTCCAGTGCTAGGGATAGAATTTTGTTGATCTCTATACAGAAAGTTATCTTTGAGTATGAGCTCCGACTCAAGTTCCTGACAACAAATAACACAACAGAATACGAGTACCTTTTTGCTGGATTGAGACTAGCAATTGACTGTGAGGTACAGAATTTAGTAGTCCACACTAATTCATAATTAGTCGCCTCTTAGGTGGAAGGGGAGTTTGATATCCATAATCCTCTATTGGCCCAGTATTGCAACTTCTTGAAGTTACTCTTAACTCGTATAAAGAAGCATTAGATCATTCATATTCTCCGAAAGCAAAATAAAAGAGCAGATGCCCTTTCCAAATTTGCTACATCAATAATTGGAGATGTTTATAAAGGAAAGTGTATCGAGGAGATCCACTTTCCAATTATTCAAGGTCCTTGGGTCATACAATCAATCGATGAATTAAAAGAGGCATCTTGAATCAATCTCATCTTATCTTTTTTACTGGATGGGGTACACCTGAAGAACCCTGGCTGCAATACGACTTCGGAGACAAGCAACTAATTTCACTATTATTGGTGTCGAGTTGTATAATTGCGCCTTCACTGGACCGTATCTCAAGAGTCTCCCACCTTCATAAGCTGATTATGCACTCAGAGAAGTTCATTCAGGAGTGTGTGGAGAACATCTGGGAGAAAGAGCGTTGGCTTACTAGATCATGAGACAGGGATTCTATTAGCTTACAATGAAACATGACGCACTTGAGTTTACTCAAAAGTACAAAAACTGTCAATTGCATTTCAATCTCACCCATACACCAGCTCTGGAGCTTGCATCACTACAAAGTCCCTGGCCTTTTGCCCAATAGGGAATTGATATAATGGGACCCTTCCCTATAGCCACTGGACAATGAAAATTCATTATCTTGGCTATAGATTACTTCACCAAATGGGTGAAGGCAAAACTTTTGGCAAAGATTACTGAAGCAAATGCCAAGTAGTTCTTGTGGAAGAATATAGTCTGTCGCTTTGACATTCCTGCAAGAGTCATCACTGATAACAGGACACAGTTCACTGGAAAGATATTTACATCTTTTTATAAGGATTTTTATATTCAGCTCATTCATAAAGATGTCGCCCATCCTCAAGCAAATGAGCAAACAGAGGTTACAAATCGAACAATTTTGAAAGGGCTGAAGACACACCTAGGGAAGGTTGGGGGGCAATGGGCTGAAGAACTACTAAATGTCCTCTGGGCTTATCAGACCACTGCCAGAACTCCTACAGGAGAAACCTCGTATAACCTTTATTTTGGTACAAAAGCAGTCATACCGGTTGATATTGGAGTCCCGGGCAACAGAGTTCAGGCGTTTGACTTCAATAGAAACGAGGAGAGGCTTAGAACAAGCTTGGATCTCCTCCCAGAAGTAAGAGATGAAGCCTCACTCAGGACCGCTTCATACCACCAAAGGATTGCTCGTCACTACAATTGGAGGGTGAAACCTCGACTTATCTTCATTGGGGACTTAGTTCTGCTAAGCATCGAAGCCGTTGGAAAAGGCCCTCAGCGTAATAAGCTCTCCCCCCTCTGGGAGGATCCTTATTTGGTGGCGGCTATGGTCATACCTGGAACCTTCAAACTGAAGGATGCTAGTGGAAAAATGCTCCCCCGAACTTGGAATGTCGGCAACCTTCGCAAGTACTATCAGTAGGAGTTGATAATACTATTTGTCTCGTGTTATGTTGCTAGTAGTATGTCTTGTGTTATGTCCCCCCCAAGTAGTTATGATTTGTATCTTTTAAGTTTTATGCTTACTTTTAGTACCC